CCAAATACGATGCTCTTGTCGACAACTACCTCAACACCATCTCTTCCATGCTCAAGGTTCATGACGATCTTGTGTCTGCTACCAACGATCTAATCAAGCAGACTCATGTTCGTCATGAGAAACAAATTCAACGATTGGAAAAGGAGATCCGGAAGAAGGATGAGATGAATCTGATCATCCAACAAGTCCTCATCAAACTCCTGCGCTCAACTTGGAACATTGTTGATGTTCCGAACAGGAAGTTTGATGAGATGATTGAAATCCTTAGCAGCACCTTCAAGCATCTATCCGAACAAGCTCCCACTTCTGAAGCCTATGACACCCTGACTCTTCAACTCTCCACCGGTCTTCAGAAGGTGTTCTCCAAACTTGATGATATCAAGGAGGACTTATCGCTTGCACCGGTTTCCAGGGTCACCGATGCAAGAGGGGGAGAAGGCCCAAGCAGGAGATGGAAGCCAGCCTCGGAATTCTCACTCCGGGATGAGGACCTCGATTCCGAAGAAGATGTCCAATTTGTCTCCGGAGTCCTGGGTATTACTGAAGGAAATGAAGGAGATGAAGACTATGATATTTACATTCCGGATGAAGCTCCCAAAGGGATTCTTGGCCTTCAAGCCCCAAAGCTGACTGCTCCGAAAGTATTATCAGAAGAACAGAAGAGGATCTGGTCCGCCGTCTCATGGCCATCCTCTCTTCCGGATGCTTTTGAAATGGCCGTTAAAATGGCTAAGGCAAAATCCTTCCTTACCGCTCAAGCCTTCCGAGCCACTCCCTCCATGATACCTCCTTCTCCCATTCCGGAACCAAAAATAGCCCCAATTGATCAAGGCTCTCCTCTCTGTACTCCAGATGAAATTCCAGAAGAACCACATCCAATTCCTACTCCGGAATTCGTCATTGAAGAGAGCATGAAGATGGTTATTGATGCTCTTCAGAGAGACAAAGGGAAGAAACCGATGACTTCGGAACAACAAGCCTTTCATTCCGGACCTCCCCTCAAACAAAAATTTGGATGGTCTGAGGAAGAAATTCACAAGGCATTGGAGGACAGCATCCTAATTCAAGCATTAAAAGATCATCCCGATCCGATGCGTGGCATTTCTCCTCTGTGTCGAGAAGGCATCCTTCAAGCCAAGGATATCATCCCAACTCTCTACTATGACCTTCCCTCACATGACACTGATCAACTGGATCTTTCTCTCTCTCCCTTCAGCATGTTCTACACAAAGTTTGCTCCACTCCACCCAAACGACAATCCGGAAGTGATCATCCGGACCGAACGTGAAAGGCTCAAAACCTTTTACGCCAAGAATGCTCTACCCTTCAAGGAGGTATGGACAAGAAAGAGGATCACTAAGGTTCATGGCTTCGGAAGAAAAATCTTGGTAAAATTTGAGCTGAACTGTCCTCTGTTCCGTTTCCATCTTCTTCGGAACAAACCAACTCCAAAGACTGTTACTGATGCGGATTTTCCTTCTATGAATCCGAACGACATCCTTACTCTTGCTGCGTACTTAATAGAACATCAAAAGGATGACATCAGTATGGGTGCCTATCACGCAGCTCTCAGCTTTCTCAAAGACTATGTTGCTGAGTTTTGCAGATGTGATTACGAACTTGCTCACCTCTACGGAACCGAACAATTTGTGGCAAAGATCGACTTTGTTCTTTCGGAAGCTGAAATTCTTGCAAATGGTTCTAGGGTTTGTCTACACCACCAGAAGAACAAACAAGAAGGACTTCTTCCGAGTCCTTGACAAACACTTGGTTCCTACCAAAGCTCTGCATAAGTTCATATCCCGCGCGTCCAAGTCTGATACTCCGGAACAGGTTAATGCAAATTTTGTAAGTCAACTGACTTGGTACATTGCAGTGCGAGAATGGTTGTTCCGAGCATACACCTTCATCAAGGAAGAAATGAACTAAGCTCGATGGATTGCTAAGTTCACTTAGGGGGGAGATTGTTGGAACCTGAAACCTCTAGCAATCCTAAGTACATATTCCGAAGGCTGTTGGTTCCGATGGAAGATGTGATCCAGAACCTGTCCGGAGCTGAAGAAAAGGAGTAAAGTATTTTGAAGAGGAACGCATTCCGGAGCTGGTGAGTTCATAAGTGGTATTTTGTATGTAAAAATATAAAAACAAGACCCTTATTGCTCATAACCGGAATGGTGGAAACGTTCCGGGGTGGATGACGTCATGTTTAGCATCATAACCAATGAATAATAGGAAACATAGCAACACAACCAGTACATTGGATACATAAAAATGTTTACATCAGTTTGAAACTTGTCTTAATTACATCAAAAGTATGTAAAAATATAAAAACAAGACCCTTATTGCTCCGACTTCTCTAAGTCCAATGAGTACCTGTCTACTGATTTCCTGAGAATAGAAGCAGTTTGAAAGAATATCAGCATAAAGCTGGTGATTTCATAAGTGGTATTTTGTAATGAAAACTTGTTGATGAGCTTGTAAAGGTGTTCGTATAGATTCAAGAAAATCCGATATTTTCTTTAATGAAAATGTAGTGTTTTAAATTCTGTATAGGACCATGAATGTTCGTTACCGAAAACTGTAGTGATATGCGTAAATAATACTTCATGTGACTAGCTAATGCTAATCATGATGTATAAGTATTTCGTACGTGAAACCATTGTATAATCGGTTCTGTTTGAAAAACCAGGAAATTCTCCAGTTGTAGTGTGTATTAGTTCTATTTAGTATAAATAAAACTGTTGAAGGGTGCCAACTTGCAAACTAAAGGTGATTTATACATATTGTGAGTCGTATAACCATACCTGCATGACTAGAGACCTTTATAACGTTCTTCAGGCGTTAAACTAAATGACATTTGTTCACCCCAGACGTGCCCGCCTAATTGTAGCTAGCAGTTCAGGTGTGGGATTGTCAGTCCCGAATAGATCTATTCACAAATCTCACGCTCTCCCTCCAGGAGACTCTGGTTATACTATGATAGGATTTATCCCTGTACCCTAAGGGTACAGTGTTGAAGTAGAGCCTCACAGTATCGTACAATCTAGTTTACATGTAGTGTTGTAGCATTATACGGTAGTGAAATCCGTAAGTATGCCGTATGTAGTGACAATTATAGTTATGAATGCCATGTTCATGTTGTGGTGTAAACTATAACTAAATCTACATCCCATGGATCCATACCTTTATCCAAAAGCTAGAAGGGCCCGTATGTGAAATTATTTCACATATCACGGGTTTTCAAAAGTTGAGTTGTTTGGATGTTCAGAAATCTTCAAGAAGTCCCCACCACTTGTTAAAAGTATCTTTATAATTATCAAGATTGTCGGCCACATGTAACAAATTAAATAATGGCCCTTGTTTAAACGTCATCACTTACGTTTTTATTCTTGTCCATTACTTTGTAAGCCCATCTATATAAGGGCATAAGTTCTAAGTTTGGGATCATCGAATCCATTCACCTACAATCACCACCACCACCATTGTAACAAAGCTTCCGCAGTATTTTAATAAAAAGGAGTTTACTTTAAAGTTTTAGTTTTTGAGCTTTAGTACAAGATAAGAAATTCCTGGCAACGTAATTTTTATCTTGGTAAATGGATTCGATGATCCCAAACTTAGAACTTATGCCCTTATATAAATGGGCTTACAAACTAATGGACAAGAATAAAAACGTAAGTGATGACGTTTAAACAAGGGCCATTATTTAATTTGTTACATGTGGCCGACAATCTTGATAATTATAAAGATACTTTTAACAAGTGGTGGGGACTTCTTGAAGATTTCTGAACATCCAAACAACTCAACTTTTGAAAACCCGTGATATGTGAAATAATTTCACATACGGGCCCTTCTAGATTTTGGATAAAGGTATGGATCCATGGGACGATTCAATTTTATCGTTTTTAGACAATAATCATCCCACCCGGGGTCCACTATAAAAATTGAATCGTCATCACTGTTGTCACTATCTTCTAGAAATCCTTTGCTGTTGTAGCGGCATTTGTTTTCTTTTTGGTTATTGTCTTGGACTTCCATGGGCTTATATATTATTGCGGCCCAATCGTTGTGCGAGGGCTTCCAGTTCGATGAGGATTCTTCGGGCTTCTTTGTTTTGGATTCGAACATCTTCCTTTTGGTCAGACCAATGGTTGTCTCTTGTTGATTTTCCAAAGCAGACTTGAGCTTTGCACTGTATGATTGCTTGTAAATTTCGCATTGCTTTGATCGCTTCTTTTGCTGCTGATAATTCGATATTTTGGGCGACTGATCTCCATGCATCAGATTTATCCATTCTGATTGGGGTTTGATTGGCTCTAAGCTGGTATTGTCTGTACATTGCTCCTGGTTCTTCTAGTGTGAAGATTGTTTTAGTAAAGATTCTTGGGAGTGGTTGAAAGTCTTCATGATTTCTTCGCAAGTAATCTTCATATTCTTCTGAGAGGCAGAAGGGGATTGTAGAACTTCCTCCACTGAGTAAAGGGTGCTGCTGCTAACCGTTTCATTTCACCTGTGCATTCTGCAAAACAAAGGTTAACAAGTCTTGAGAGAGAATCAATTAGTGTATTATGTTTCCCTTCTATATGCTCTATGTTAATCTTGACGCCTGTTCCTGTGACTGCATCTGCAAACTTTATCCACCTGACCCTTGAGGATTTGTTGCTATTAGCTTTGTTGTAAAAGCTAATAATGGCTTGGCAATCTGTCCTTAAAGTGATTTCTTGTTTATCAAGGTAGTAGATTTTTAGTTTCTCCAAAGTGTTAATGCAGGCATTGATTTCAGCATCAATTGTGGATTGGGTTGTTGAGAACTTGCCACTTGCATATGCACAAATCTTTTCTGAGCTTCTTGGTCCTTCCTTTTGTTCTTCCATTTGACTATACCTCCCCATCCTTCCATACATCCGTCTATTTCTAGGATGATATAAGAATCTTCAGGTGGTATCTCAAGGTCTGGGAGATTCTGAACTTGCATCTTGATCCTTTTGATTAACTCATAATCAGAAGGCTTCAATCTTTTGTCTCCATGAGCATTTGTTTTTCGTAAGTGGCCTTAATAGTATCCCAAGCTTTGGGATATGATTACGAGCATAGTTAAGGATTCCTAAGAATGACCTCAACCCCTTTTTTGTCTTCAATTCTTCTTCGTTGAAGTTCACAATCTTCTTTATGATGTGCGGTTGCAACCTTATTGTTCCTTCTCTTACGACTACTCCCAAAAAATCTATTGTTGGGACTGCTATCTTCATCTTTGTTGGAGATAGGACTAGGCCATTATCCTCACATATTTGCAACATCTTTTCCAAGTGCTTTGCATGTTCTTTTTCGTTTTTTGAGAAAACCAGTATATCATCAATATATACTGCGATAAATGATTCTGTACCTCTGAAGCATTTATCTATTTTTCTTTGGAACACTGCTGGGGCATTCTTCAAACCAAATGGCATAACTAGCCATTCATAAAGTCCCCCATGTACTAAGAATGTTGTCCATGGTATTGATTCTTCATCCATGGCGACTTGATGGAATCCTGATTTGAGATCAAATTTTGAGAAAATTTTTGCACCTCCTATTCTCTTGATGATCGTATTTATGCCTGGTAAGGAGTATTGGTCCTTGTATGTGTTGTCATTCAAGGATTTATAATTAAAAACCATTCTTTCTTTCCCTTTGACCTCCTTTCCAGTTACAGGATCAATTGTTGTTCCTGAGTTTACGATCATTGCCATCGTTCTGTGTCTGCTTTTGCTTGGTCGAATAGCACCAATCTTGAGTAAACTATCAACATGTATTCTAAACGAATCTTCCATTGCTGGTGTCACATGTTTTAGTGGTCGATCTTCAATTGTAATGTCTGGATTTAAAATATCCAGTTTACAAAGCTCACCATTCTTCTTCCAATGCTTTAAAGGTTCTTCTCCGATGTATCCTTGGAGCTTTAACCTATCAATGACAGGTTTAAACCGTTCTAGGAATGCATTGTTACCTTCTTGGTTGAAATAAATAGATTCATTTATTTCAAAGAAATCTTCTTCACTAATTTCAAGCTCAGTGATGGCAACTTCAGCAACCTCAGATTGCTCTGAAGTTTTGATCTTGGTAACCTTCTTATAAATAGTTATCTCATCACCTTCTACACGAATTCCTCCTTTCATGGACCTTAGGAAGTTGGTACCTATCAGCATTTCAATGCCATTGCTGCCATGCATATCAAATGCATATATAAGGGGAATTTTTAACTTGTTTCCCTCGATGAGAAAATAGCCTTGCTTTATTTTGTGAGTTGCCTGCTGTCTTGAATTTAAACCATTAAAGAAAACACTGTGGTTTAAAGGTTCAAGTGCTTCTTCTGGAATAACCTTCTTGTTTATGCAGCATGCTGATGCTCCTGTGTCTATTATTGCGCCGATCCCAAATGCTGGGCAATTAGGGATATCAAACTCAACTTTTACGTTGTAAAGTGAGTTAGTTATCTTCCTAACTTTTGGGTTTGATGTAGCATTTTCAGAGTAATGAATCTCTGCTTCCATGAAGGGCCTTGCTACATGGAGTTCGCTTAACGGTGGGAATTCTTCTTTAGGGAATTGAGGCTTTTCCCTTTCTTCCTTCCTTTCTTGTAGTTGCTCCTTCAGCCTTCTTATTTCTTCGTTCTTTTGTTCTTCAAGCCTTACTTGTTCAGCTTTAAGCTGATCGATTATCTTAAGAGTATCTGTGAGATCTTTTATTAGCAAGCCTTTTTCAAGCTGCCATGCTTCCTCTCTCTTTTGTATTTCTGCCTTGGTCTCATAAAACTCTTTGGCTTGATCCTTAATCATCTGCTGCATTTGCTCCGTCTTCTCTTTCAAAAGTTCTTTGAGAAGCTTTATTTCCCTATTGGTAAAGTCACTTTCTTCTTCCGGCTTAATCTGCTGTTTTTTCTTAACGTTAACTGTTTTGCCAAGATAATTTTTGGCGCAAAGAGCACATGTTGTGAGTTGGCACTTGGGACAGTTAAGTCTTGACACGTCTGTGGTTAGTATTCCACAGTAATAACAGATCGTGTAATTTGTGACTGTGTTTTCCTTCCAATCATGCTCACAGTTTTTACTTTGAGCTGGCAATTCTTTGCTTGGTTTCCACGATCCTACGGATTGAACCATATCTGCTATTTTTGTTGGTGGTCCTGGATGGAACATGAAAGCATAATGACTATGTTGGATATCCTCTCTTTCATCTTCGCTGCTACTTTCATTATCTTCATGTGTTATTGTGAAAGCTGCTTCTTAAATGGAGTATCTTGGACCATAACACTGATGCTTTGATGGGTATCGCCTTCTCCTTCTGATATACTATAGACACTGGTGTCATCAAAGTCTGCTGAGACAATGTCCCAGTTGTCATCAAGATCCAGTTCTTGATAGACAGCTGATCTTGCAATGTTTCCTTGCTTGCTTTTGCAATCTTTTGCGAAATGCCCTTCCTTTCCACAAATAAAGCATTTGCATTTCTTGACTCGTCCTCTGTCATCTTTGTACTTTCTTTTGAATGGCTTTACATGAGAACCATGTGGCTTTCCTTTGTAAGTCTTCGACTTCCTCATTCCATACTTTTTCCTGTTGTTTTTGTAATAACCAGGAATTGGTATGGCTGAACAAAGAGATAAATCTCTAAGCTCTTTGGCAAGCGCCGCATCTTTGCACATTTCTGAGATGAAAGTATGAGTGAATTTGATTGCAGGCAGAACTCCTGAACTTAGACCAGGGTACCTGGCTTTAAATGATTCTTCAACTTTCTTGGATAGAGAAGGTGGAAGTTTAGCAAAAAGTTTTTCTGTTGTTGAGGGGAAGTACAGCCTTCCAGACTTTATTGCTAACTGCCTGAAATCCTCCAAGAATGTCCACAAGTTCTTGGTTTCTTCACAAGTTATTCTGTCTAGATCTCTGTAGGCTCTGTCTTGTTCATCAGTTGAGCCTCGGTATGGATCTTCTAACAATATTAACTGCCTAACTTGTGATGTTATATTCTGTGGTTCATCTGCGATTGCTTCAAGGGCAGCATATACATCTGGGTATGCCGTTCGCCATTGTTGCCACATTAACTTTTCACTTTCTCCAAGAAGATTTTCAACAAAGGCTAATTTTGCTTTGTTGTCAGTCCATGTTTGGCTATTGAGCCTATTGATTGTTATAGACTCCCATCGTGCTATTACATCTGACCATAAGCCTGGATCTGCTGGTAGAACAAGCATTACACCTGATTCCGTCCATGCTGGTGGCAGAGTCCACTGTGAATTATGATATTCACCATATCCTCCATTAAAAATATTGCCTTTTCCTTGAGGGTAACCAAACTGGTAGTTTGGTTTATAAATTGGCTGTGGATTTTGCCGTGCTGGTGGGTAGACAACTGGTCCTAATATTGCATCATCTGGAGGTTGATAGCTTGCACCAGATTCTGCGTCATTTGCTGTTGGAAAAGCATGTTCTTCGTGTTTTTTAACCATTTGTGCTGCCATTTGTTTAAAGTTGCGAAATTTTGAGTATGGCAGATTGTCATCATCTTCTTTGGAAAGATGAAGAATTGTATGGTCCTCACCATGCTTCGCTGCGAATGGGTTTTCCCATTCAGACTCTGATCTTTGTGTGGCGAGTTAGTCATCCCATTGTGGCAAATATTCATCAATAAAATCTTGTTGGTTTTTTGAAAATTCTTCTCGTAGGACAAGGATCTTTCCACCACTTCTTTCATCATCATCCCAGTCACTTGTTTTGTCCATAATTGTCACTTTTCCTGGGGTAATTTCATCATCTGGGAATCCATCTCCCCAGCTAGTTGCTGCAATTTCTTCTATTGAAGTTGTGCTTACTGAGGTATCGTACATGACATAATAGTCCCATTTTCCAGATGGTTCACCAAGAGTTGACCATTTATGTTTTGATCGTCTTGGCTTATTGGAACGTCTTGCTGTGTTCAGTGGCTCATTCTCCAAGATCTTTGCTTCATCCAGACATTCTTCACAAAAACATATATCATAGGGGATATGTTTTGTCTGAGGTGTTTAAAAACATACTCCTATAAAATGCTCTTCATCTTCGTCCAAATGATCGTTACCTAATACTTCTCGATCATTCTGGTCAACAGAGTATCTTGCTGGTTGGGGGGTTCGGCGATATCTTTCAAATTGGAGACTTAATGATCTGTTAAGCCTTTCATGTACCGCTACTCTTGATGGTACACTTACTGATGTTTGCTCAGATGGCTTTAGATTCCAGCTCATTCCTTCAAGCTCTTCTATACTCCTTCTTTCACCAGAAATTGCCGTGATGCCATTTGTTGTGAGATGGTCCACAACATTTTCTACACTATATTGGAATCCCATATAGCTAGTGTTTGATAGCCTACCCGTCATGGCTATTGTAATCAAAAGATTACTTTCGCCGCCTTGCCAAGTTTCATACCCATGAGTTTGTATGACAACTTCTACATGATTATGGAAGTCCTCAATACTTAGAACCATATCAGGGAACATGTAGACTAGCTGCGTTCCTGCAGAGAGGTCGACTTCCATAGTTCCAATGATTTGTCGACTATCTTCCCATCTAGTGTCCCGAAGGACAACTAGAGCATTTGTTCCCGCACTTCTCCGGTGGAGTGCATGTAGCCTGATCATGAATATTCCTAGGTGAATATGTTGGAGCCCTGAAGTTCTCAAGTTCTGGTAGCTTTCTTGGTTACACAGCCGAAGGTTAACTTGATTTTCTCCAACACATAGGATTCTTTGCTCAGAGTAGTGTTCATAGACTCTGTGTCTTGTAGTACTTCTATTGTTTGAATAAAGTACCTCTGCTGGAACAAGATTTGCCCTTCTCTCTCTTGATATTTCAAGTTGTCTTTCTGGATCTACAACAGACTCCAAGGTGCGATTATAGCTGTTTCTTCCAAATACTCTTCTTGTTGCCCTAGCTGCTTGATATCTGTTTCGGGTCATTTGTCGATAACCACGAATTTGATCTTCTTGAGTTGGGAGTTCTGTTTGAGTTTGTGTGGAACTCCTGTTGAGGATGCTAGGCCTTCTGAAAGTCATTTCTTTTATTCTTTCCCAAACTGTTCTTTAAAGATTTTGTTAGGATCTTCAAAGACATAGATTTGCCCGTTACTTTTCTTTACTGGAAGTTTCCCACTAATAGAGAAATTATCAAGTCTTCTGGTTAAACTTGATATTGAGTCTTCAAGATCTGCTGGCTGAGTATTTTGTTTGATAACAGTTTGAACTTCTTGTTTGAGCTTGTCAAACTTTTCTTCAATCTCAATCAGTTTCTGACTTTGCTTAGTTGCTAAGTAAAGCAAGGTGTTGTTTTGTTTTATAACAACCTTTACTTGGCTAACTAGAGCTTCTTTGTAGTCGGTTGTTTTTGCAAAACCAACTGCTGGTGATTCAAAGTCTTCAGTGGCTTGTATGTCTTCCTGATACTCAGTAGTTGCCTTTTGATTGGCAATACTCATCCGGTGATGAGCCTCTTGACTTCGTGAAGAATATTTTCAACCTTCTGGGTTTTATGATTGAGTTCTTCAGTTAGTCTGAGGGCTTCTTTCTCAACTAACTTTGGTTGCTCTGCTATTTCTTGAACAAGGCTCAGGACTTCTCTTTTTGTGAGTGGTTTAGATTGATGGATCTCAGTTGAGATTTGTTGAAAGCGTTTTCTGGTTTCACTCTGAGTTTTTCTTAATAACTCCTCACAGGATTCAAGCTTCTCTTGACCACTTTGGACTTTTGACTCAAGATCTTTTTGTTTTTCAGAAATACTTTTAAAATTCTTAAGTGCTACTTTAGAAAAGAGATTTAAACCATTATAAATACAAGCTAAATTATTGGCTAAATCGGTAGTTGTAGGTTTAGAACTATTTTCTTTAAAAATGATATACTCAGGATCCACAGTTCGTGAATTATCGTACCAATTTTGTATCTCTTGCTCAAAGCGATCGGACATAAAAAAACGATAAAATTGAATCGTCCCATGGATCCATACCTTTATCCAAAAGCTAGAAGGGCCCGTATGAGAAATTATTTCACATATCAC